GCTGTTGGTGGGACTGCAAACTGGTACAGCTGCTGTGGGAAACAGTAGGGCAACAACCCGGGTGGCCACAGTGGATGAATGGGTAAGCAAAGCATACCGCGTACATGTGATGGAGTGTTACTCAGCCGTAAGAAGGAGGGAAACTCTGACACATGCTATGACGTGGATGGACCTCGAGGACATTTTACTAAGTGAAATGAGCCAGCCACAAATGGCCAAATATTGTGTGATTGCACTCAAATAAGGTACCCAGAGCAGGCATATGCAGGGCACGGGTAACCAGGGGCCCTGGGTGGAGGGGCTGCTGAGTTAGTGCTTACCGGGGATAGTTTCGGTTTCGGATGACGAAAAAATTCTGGAGATGGACGTTGGTGATGGTTGCACAACCACGTGAATGCACTTCGTGCCGCTGGACTCACACGTAGAAATGGTTTCAATGGTACATTTTATGTTATGTTTATTTTATTGCAATTTTCGAAAAAGAGAAAGAGAATCGCCATTTACCCAGTTGTTTTTTTTTTTTTTTTAAATCTGTTAGTATCACGCATGGGTAGACTGGGTTCATGCAGCTGACCCAAACACTGTCTCTCTTTTTTAAAATATTATTTCCATCCACCTTCAGGACCAAGAGAGGGTACCAGAGAGGGGCCAACCCTGAATTCCTCAGACTTGTCTATGGGTTCCGAGGTACGTTCACCACGATGAATGTCTTCATCACAGGAGCATCCCCACGGTTTTAGAATTCAGATACTCAAACTGTGGCTTCACCCAAAGAAGGATGGTAGGTTTTATAAATAATAATTTTTAAAAGGAATGGAGGCAGAGGAGTTGGCTGAGGTGCTGCTAGCCAAGACTGGAAGCAGGCACCTGCCCACTGGGGTGCAGACAAAAACGCACAAGGTGGTGGGGAGGCTGTTGACCTCCCTGGGAATCCAACTGGGCAGAAGCCACCTTCAGGAAAAGTCTCAGCTGAGAAGCTTGGGGGGGGACCCTTGGAACTCACCAGAAAGCTGTCTCTGGGGTGATGTTGAATTCACTAGGATGGATCCCCACTGGCTTCCATCTGGTGGCTGAGCGCCACAGGAACCAGGAAAGGAGCTCACGCCAGAGCCAGGAGGAGATGCCTGCAGTGCGCCCTCTACCGACAAAGCTTAACGTGCAGCCAGCTAACTAAGGAAACCATCCGAAGCCCAGCACCCCCGGTGTGTTTGGAGCTGAATCGCGGTATTGATAACCGGTACAGGGACAAGATGCTAATAGTTGTGAATCTGGGTGAAGGCATACGAGAGTTCTTTGTACTATTTTTGAACTCTCCTCTATGTTTGGAATTATTCCTATGTTTAAACACTTAAAGAACCCCTTTAGCTGAAAAGAACCAAAATAAGACGTTGGAGAGGATGATTTTTTGACTTTAAAAACTGCACTGGACTCTAGAAGAAAAACTGATTTTAAGCTTCTTTGGTTCTTTTGGACTTTAAAAGATTCTGATCTCTTTGAACTGTCATCTCATGAGGGCAACACGATTTGATTTCGGACTAACTCTTTTAAGTTTTAATTTGCAAGCAGATCAAATTAAAAAAAATTTTTTTTCCTGGAAATTTGCCATGGAAGGGGGCTAATAAGCTATGTGGGGCTTCTCGTTCTTGACTTTTTACTGTTGGACTATCTTTATGCTAAATCTTGATCTCACTGTACAATCTTTGAAGAGCTATATTTGACATGGTTTGCTATCACTTGGGATGGGAAATGAGAGAAATTCTGGTTATAGCAAGAGCTTGGAGTTAATTAATTAATGTTTTGATCTGTCCCATTTCAAATAAACCTCTTGCAGCAAACTTCATACTGCCCAACAGCAGACCCAGGATAATTCAGACAGAAGTGGTTGGTACAGAGGGAGCAGCTGGGTGAAGCTGAGAGCAGGGCTGTTTTAATGGATGGTTGCTTGCCACCTGCTGACTATGGACTTGACGGATAAATCCAATGCTTATTTAAAAGAAGGTTAGAACTAGTGGAAGGATCACTTGTTCCCTAGTCCTGTTTCCACGTGGAGGAATTCCATCCAAGGAAATCTCCTGGCCTCTCTCCATCCTTTTGCTTACCAATTCCAAGGAAGGATGAGCAAGTTATATGGCGGACAAGTTGGCCAGAAGGAAATGCCACGAATTTGAGGTCTGCTGGCCTTCCAGAGCACTCAGTATCTGTGCTCCTAAGCTTACAGGGCTGGCCCGAGTTTGCCCAGTACTGCGCATGGCAAGGGGTGAGGCCATCTTACTGAGGAGTGAAGTGGAAGCAAACCAGCTTGGGCATCCAACCTAAAGCTGCTTCTTCCAATAACTTTAATCAAGCTGATACTTTCATCTCCACCTGCCTGACTCTGGTCTCCTTCTTCATTGGCTCTGGGTCTTGGGATCGCGCCCCACGTTGGGCTCCCTGCTCAGCAGGGAGTCTGCTTCTCCCTCTCACTCTGCCCCCCCAATAGTACACACTCTCTCTCTCTCTCAAATGAATACATAAAATCTTTTAAAAATATTTCTGGAGGCGCATTTTTTTTAAATTTTTTATTGTTATGTTGATCACCATACATTACATCATTAGTTTTTGATGTGGTGTTCCATGATTCATTGTTTGTACATAACACCCAGTGCTCCATGCAGAATGTGCCCTCTTTAATACCCGTCACCAGGCTAACCCATCCCCCCACCCTCCTCCCCTCTAGAACCCTCAGTTTGTTTTTCAGAGTCCATCGTCTCTCATGGTTGGTCTCCCCCTCCGACTTACTCCCCTTCATTCTTCCCCTCCTGCTATCTTCTTCTTCTTTTTTTTTCTTAACGTATATTGCATTGTTTCAGAGGTACAGATCTGTGATTCAACAGTCTTGCACAATTCACAGCGCTCACCATAGCGCATACCCTCCCCAATGTCTATCACGCAGCCACCCCATCCCTCCCACCCCCCACCACTCCAGCAACCCTCAGTTTGTTTCCTGAGATTAAGAATTCCTCATATCAGTGAGGTCATATGATACATGTCTTTCTCTGATTGACTTATTTCACTCAGCATAACACCCCTGGAGGCACATTTAAAAAAAACAGGTGAAATTGACTTTAATAATACATTTAATTTAATGCAATCTGTCCAAAATTTAATGCAATCTGTCCAAAATGTTATCATTTCAACATGTGATCAATTAAAATTTTTAACTGGATTTTTTTTTTTAAGTAGGCTCATACCCAGCATGGAGCCCAGTGCCGGTCTTGAACCCATGACGCAGAGATCAAGACCTGAGCCGAGATCAAGAGCTGGACACTTAACCGACTGAGCCCCTCAGACACTCTTATTAATTGAATATTTTATATATATTTTACACTATGCCTTTGAAATCCAATGTGTATTTTATACTTACAGCACATCCTAATTTGGTCTTGCCATATTTCAAGTGCTCAATAGCCACGTGGCCAGTGGATGCCACATTGAACAGTACTGGTCTACATGGTCTCGCCTATCAGTGAAAGGAAGTTAGTTTTCCACTGTAGTTTTGTCTAGGTGAATTATAACTATGAATTAAGGATATCTCTCCCTTTCTCCCCCTTTCCTGCAAACACACATCTTTTCATTGTCTCAAGAGACCAAGAAAGGGTTCAAATTGCTTTCTGATACACTTTCCCCCAGACAGCTATTTCTTTGAATATAACATGTGCATTGACTAGAACACATGGCCATTTGGTTTTCTTTCAGCTGAAAGTTAGATTTTAGACCCATGGGACTGTGATTTATAGATGACCATATTTTGCATTTCATCACAAATTCAAGGGCCACCTGAAGTTCATAGTTGAGGGTGGGCCTGGGTGAGCTGGACTGACACAGGAAGGCCCCTTGAGGCCACCCCCAACTAGTCAGGTGCTGATGGATGGATCTCCCCCATCCCCAGCCGACTTGGGGTTTAGCTTACTGACGGAGATTCCTAATTTCCTTCGACTAGAGGGGCAGGGCATGAGCAGGACCGTTGACCTCCTGTTTGCTATGGTCACAGATCTCAGCACGGGCAGGAAAACTTCACTGGCCACTTTGGAAGGCCCAACGCTTTGGAAAAGCCTGGAACTTGTGTCCATTGTGGCATCAAGGGGCACCTGTCAGCTGTTTGCTCCATTCTCACTGGAGCATGTGAACGTGTGCATCTTTCTCATCTTACTGACAGAGACATTACATCTCAGATCCCATCGGCTTCTCAGAACTCCTGGGACCCCCACAAAGAACCGTACTCAAGCTGGAAGAGAGAGGACAGATGGACGAAGGGCTTCTCCCGGCGAGGAGTGCGAAGCCTTAATAGTGGAGAGATACAGGAGGTGAAGGCACCGATTCTGCAGGATTCCAGGTGGTGGAAGAGCTCACTCCTGGGGAAGCAGACGGCGATGCACAGAGAGCTCAAGCTTGGAGGCATTGCCCCCCACCCCGGGAGGGAGAGAGAAGGCCACTGGGGCCCCAAGGTAGGGAGGGGGTGCAGAGACAGGGGCAGCCCGGCCCGGAGCCCCTACCCTCAGCAGGGAGAGGCTGAGGCTGAGAGACGTGGGTGAGGCAGGCAGGGTGGCCTCAGCAGCCCCTCGATACCCACGCAACCGCCTCTGTAAGGACTGACATTTCTGTCATTTCTGCTGAGAGTGGGCACCGCACATCCACGCCCACGTGGAGCCCTGGGTTTCATTCCGGTTACACTTAACCTCAGGGCCCAAGCACCAAAACGCAGACATGGAACCAGGCCACTGAGTGTTGCAGGCGGCTCTCCACTCGCCACTCTAATTCATTCTTTTCCGTTTTCTTCCAGACATTCGTCGGAAGAAACAAAAGGCCACGCCGAGAGACGATCTGCTCTGGGCCGGGCATGACTATCCAGAGCGTTTCTTTGGTGCAAGGATGCTCATACACAAAGCCCACAGTATTAAACGTGGAGAAAGCCGTTTATTTACTTACTGTGGACGCACAATGAACACACCTTTTAGAATCTCTAAAAGTAAGAAAGAGAGTTTTATTGGCAGAAAGGACACGCTCTTCACAGGGGAGAACGGGCTCCGGGGAGAATGAACCGTGTTTACAGGGTGATAGCCTTTCTTACATCTTGTAAAAGCTCTAACGATTATAGATTTGCACGCAGGCAGGAATCACGGGTTTACCAGAAAGGAATGCGGGGGGGCGGGGAAGGAGCATTGATTGACCTCGAGGACAAGATGGTTTTCCTTCAGGTGGCTCACTCACAAAGCACGTGTACGATGCCTGACGCATGCGTGGCGGGCCATAAATCAGGCTTTGGGTTTGAACAAAGATTCTACACAGTCACGTTGACTTGGAAGGAAATCTCAAATGGCTTCCCGCAGTATCTCAGGCCTTCAGAGAGTTTTTTCTGTCATCATTCTGCTCCTGAAGAACTTCTGAGAAGAAATGAGAACAGCAAAAGCAGGAAGCTCAGTGGCACGACAACCATTTAACCCCCGCGAGGGTAAGATGTGGGAAATGGGACTGGCAGGCTGTGGTCTGAAATGGGGACAGTGGCTCTCTTTCCCCTACACGCTTTAAATCTTTCCCGTTTCCCATGATATATTTCACTACTGTAATGGGGGGGGTAGGCGGAGACTCCTCCCTTCCCTTCATAGGGTCCTTCTTTATTCAGGGACCCCAAGTCAGGGACTCTATTTTAAGAAAAGAAATCGTAATAATAATGCAATAAGCCTTTGGCACACAGATATTCATTTTACCACTATGCATAAAAAAAAAATTGAAATAATCTAAATGTCCCTGAAAGCGGAAGGCATCTAGTGTGGCCCTTACTTTTCCTCTTCTGGCAACTTTCTCCATTCCCGTACCCTACAGCGCCCACCGCTCAGGCCAGCATCCGGCGCAGGCAAAGGCACGTGACCCAGTCCTGACCAATCAGAGCGGTCCCTGGGCCTCTGCCCCGCCCCCATCCCCTTGGGAGCACCCTGCTGGAAGGGGGTGCACTGGGTTGCAGGGGTGGGGGGGACTTGGGGGAGGGCTCTTGTCTGAACCTGGTGCAGGCCTGCCTGAGAAATGGAAAGACAAATGCCTGATGACATCCTTTTTTGTTCTCTGGATCCAGACACACCTGAAGCCCGCTGTACCCTTAGGTGTCTAAGCACACAAGTCAATAAACTCCCTTTTTTGTGTTAGCCAGTTTGCGTGGCTTTTGGCTACCTAAAACAGAAAGTGATGACTAACATATGTCTAATTTAAAAGATTGTATATATATATAATCAAGAGAATATCTCGTAACATAAAAAAAAAGTCTATAAAAACTAAGTGAAATAGAGAATGGTAGGAAAATATTGCAAAGTGAAAACAGCACCCTGGAAAGTTCTAGATCTGTAGGCAAAGGGGAGAAATGAGAATGAGAGAGAGAGGAAACTGGGTTGCAGAAAAAAATCTAGGATGTAACGCAGCCTTGAGGGAGGGTCCCCAGTGGGCAGTCTCAGGACAAGTATGGAAGGCAGGTGCTTTAATATTCTACACCAGACTGCCAACAGTCGTCACCCTTGGTTGATGCATTATTTGTTTTTTTTTTTAAGATTTTGTTTATTTGACAGAGAGAGACACAGCGAGAGAGGGAACACAAGCAGAGGGAGTGGGAGAGGGAGAAGCAGGCTTCCTGCTGAGCATGGAGCCCGATGTGGGACTCGATCCTAGGACCCTGGGACCATGACCTGAGCCGAAGGCAGACGCTTAACAACTGAGCCACCCAGGCGTCCAGTCGATGCATTATTTCTAACTCTTATGTTTTACTTGTTTGAATTTTATTTTATTTTACTATTTTTTAAGATTTTATTTATGTATTTGACAGAGAGCACAAGCAGGAGGAGCGGAAGGCAGAGGGAGAGGGAGAAGGAGAAGCAGGCTCTCAGCTGAGCAAGGAGCCGGATGCGGGCTCCATCATGACCTGAGCCAAAGGCAGATGCTTAACCAACTGAGCCACCCAGGCGCCCCTGCCAGAATTTTAAAAAAATTGTATTTAATGTCCATGCACTGCTTTCAAAACAGCAGCTAAAACCTAAGAAAGAAGTAGGTTGAAGATAGGTGACACGGAAAGCCTGGAGAGGTCCTCACAGTTTCCGAGGACATCCTAAGTTGCTCTGAACTTGGGGAGGAGAGAAGCGTTCCGGGGCCTCTCTCCTTCCTGATGGAATCTGGTCGAGCAGGTTCCAGTGACGTCCTGTTGTGTGCAAACCCGGGTCTTACCCAGCATTACCTTGGGTGCAGGAGGAAGGGAGCAGAGCAGGCAGCTGGCCACAGAAAGGTGAGCACAAGATGCCCCTCACCTCGGGGACCCTCCTGTCCTATCCTCTGCATTTAATATAGAGCCCACACCAATCGACACATGCTTCATGAGGACCTACTGTGTGCACGTGAGTGAATGGGGCACGGGAAAAGCAGCGGGAAAGAGGCACCTCCCGAGAGAAGGGATGGGGGAGAATGAAGAAGCAGGGTGGTGAAGGAGAGGCAGGACAGACGGACCTCACCACACTCACTAGCTGACCGTGCCCTCAGGCCCCAGTTGGACCTCCCAGTTGCTAAGTCTCTAGGCATCGCCTCTGCCAACCCAGCCCGCCCCCACCCTATCGCCTTTTAAGTCTGCTCAGAGTCCTCTCCTGTCACCTGGGGACCTGCTTCCCCACGCCTGCCTGGGGGTCAAGCCAGAGACCCAGTGGCTCCGCCCAAAGATGAGCTCCCTGGCCTTTTCTCTTGGAAGAGTTTCCGTAAAGAAACAAAAACACCAGTCACAGGAGGGCTTGCGAAGGAGGGCTCGGGGGGCAGCCTGGCAGGCTTCCTGGCTTTGTATCCTGACTCTGCCACCCCTTAGCTGTGAGCACTTGGCGAGTCACCAAAGCTCCCTGTCTTCGTCAGCTGGGGCTGCCCTAGCGGAATAGCACAGACCGAGTGCCTTATATAAGGGGAATGTGTAGTTCTGGAGGCTCCGGCCAGCTGGGTTTCTGGTGAGCCCTCCCCCCTAGCTTTGGAGATGGCCACCTTCTTGCCGTGTCTTCTTACGGACTTTCCCCCTGTGCGGGCGCAGGCAGAAAGAGAGAGCCCTCTTGTATTCCCTCCTCCTCTTAGAAGGACACCAGTCTCATAGGACCGCCCCTTCCTATGCCCTGATTCAGCCCCAGTCACTTCCCAAAGGCCCCACCTCCAAATAGTCACACTGGGGCTTCAACCTATGAAGGTTCAGGGACACATTTCAGTCTGTAATGCTCCCTGTGGCTCAGTGCTCTCTGCCGTACACCTGGGAAGACCCTCTTCCCAGCCCATGGACCTCAAGGAGCATTGAGAGAGAAATTGAAGGCATGACCAGGTCTGTCCAGGACAGGCGCCATTATCATCAAGAGGCACCTGATGTCATTTGGACCCCCCGGGCCACCAGGTGCCCCAAATCCTCAGGAACATCCAAGCAAACTTCACACACACACACACACACACACACACACACACACACACACACACACGCTGGCTCCCTTAACACCCTTTCCTTAAACCTTGGTGCCCATCAGCCCCAGTTAAAGTTTCTCCCTTCCCTCCAGCCCTACCCACGAAGGAGATGTCAGCCTCACTTACTGCTGCAGACTCTCACGGAGCTGGGTGAGTTCCATCAGCTTCCTTTCCAGCTCCCGAGCGTGGGCTCTCAGCTCTTCTGCCATCTTGCTTCCTTCTCCTTCCTTCAGTTGCTTCCAGTTGCTCCGGAGGGTGACCACGTTCTGGCAGAGGGAGAAGCCAGCCATAGCACTACACAGCATGCGAACATTTTTCTCCATCAGCACTATTGTGCCCTTAAAGGCCCTTTGCAACTGCATGCTCCTTCGGGCTGAGACTTGGCCAGTGGTCAGGAGACGCTTGGCAGCAGTGGCCAGACGCGGGTGGGCTCTGGCTATCTGACAGGCACGGATGTTCTTCTTAACATCACTGATGTTACTTCCGTAATCATAGGCCTTCTTTCCGACACTCAGGACGTAGAAGACTTTCTTTCCCTGAGCCTCGTTGACCTCATGGTCATGGGTGGGCACTAGGGTGCTGGCGTGAGTTTGGGCTTTTTGATTTTGACGGTGTTCCATGATGTTGATGAAGATGCTGGTGAACCCGACTGCTGTCCCCAAAACTTTACCAGCAGCAGAGAGCGCCAGACTTCCTCCTACTGTTGCTGGAGCAAGGACCAGACCCAGCATGCTCATGGCGTCTGAGACCACAGTGAGGGAGGTGGCCACCATGTTGGTCTTGGTGAATGTTCTGTGGGTTGTGTCGATGCTGTCTGCAAGGGCATGGAGCTTCCTGATGGTCACTTCTAGCTCTTCCTTGATGATGGGAAACTCTCTCAAAAATATTATTTCTTCAGCTGACAGATCCTCATCTTGTTGCTGCACATCCTCACACAGAAGAATGTCATCCTGGTCCCTGCGAGTGAGCAAAATAAAGGTTTTGCTTAAGTCTCCCAGATGGGAAAGTCACATTCTTAGGCCCATTGTGGTTTCTGGGTGTTCTTGCCACTCCTGCCTCTGCGTCCTTCCTGCATCTCCCTGACACCTCTGTTATGTCTCACCCAGCCTTGGAGAGTCCCAGAGCATTGTTGGGAGCTGCTGCTTCCATGAAGAGAAGAAACACACATCATAGAGACTTCTGGAGGGACAAATGGGAGAAACACAGCCTTGCCTAAGAGATGGAGAAGGTAGATTAGTCCTGGGGGACATGTTCAGCCTTGTTCAAAGAGACGGTCACCCAGGAGGGGCAGTGAGGAAATGCTAAGATCTGAGTCAAGATAAAGAACCTGAGACTAAGGGAGGGGCAGGTGTGGGAAAGGCAGGCGAAGGAGGAGACCGGGCAGAGGGTCCTGCGTTTGTAGCCGCAGGTCAGAGGGAGGAGGCACCCTGCTGTACAATGCAGCCCACACTCCCACGGCCTTGACTTTGGCTGCTGTGGTGGCCTTTGCCTCCAACCGGAGTTGAACACCGAGAGGGCTGAAGTAAATTATCACTAATATCTTGAAGGCTCTCCTTGGCACTTCGCCAGCTTTACCTGACGACTCAAGCAGATGGGTTGGGTCCTTCATGGAAGATGTCAGGGACAGAGGGCATCTCCTCCCCAGTGTCTCACAGTACAGAGTATTAAGGGATCTTCATCACCCCAGAGGAGTTTGGCCTTTATGGGAGAACAGTGTCAGGGAAGAGCAAACCTACTCCTTCGGGCACTTTCCTCAAACCAAGGGCCATTGGTGCATCTTCTTGAAGGCGAGCTTGGGAGGCCCGGTGATGACGGATTCCCTGGCCCAGAGGAGAGACTCAGAACTGGAAGGAGCCCTAGCCAGGGTCCAAGCTACCACCTTTACTTTTCAGCGGAGGGAACAGAAGCCCAGAGAGGAAAGGGGACTTGAGCGAAGGGACGCGTGAGATGAAGATGGAGCTCTGAGCCCACCGCCATTCTGGGCTGTTTTTCTCTCCTCTGTCGGCTGATGTCAGGAATTCCTCACTGAAATACACACACACACACACACACACACACACACACACACACCTTTTAATCTCTCTCTCTCTCTCAACACATGCACACAATTTCTCAATGGAAAAGGTAAAAAAACAAATATACTTCCAAGGAAACCCCTTAGCGTTAATAACGAATGAATTTAGGCCCGATGATCAGTTAATCAGCAGCTGTAAATCAATTCGCAGAGGAGAAGGTTGCCACGGGCTTGCAGGGATAAGGGGAGGGATGAAGGCCAGGAGGGGGACACAGCCGAGGACCCCTAACCTTTACGGATGCCACAGTCCAGCCCTCCCTGCCCTTGTGTTTCCTCAGGGGAATGGGGACAAGGAGGTACAGAGATTGACTACCCCCACTGTGCGTCCACTACTGAGTTTTGTCTTTAACATGGTTGAGAGGGAACGGGAGTTTGGCTTCTTGTGCTTTTGAGTGAACCCGAATGTCTCCGATGCGGGCATTTCCTGCTGCCTCGCATCCTCACGGGGGGACAGGTGCAGCATGATGGTCCCGCTCTAGAAGGCACCCCCTCGCGTACAGCTCCCCTGGCTCACTCTGCGAACGTCTGTTGACTGTCCGCACTGTGCTGGAAGCTGGTGGGGTGACGTCTGCGGATTTGCGGCTCACTGGGCCTGAGTTCTTCAACGCAGTGGCACCAATGGGCCCTTTTGGTAATGGCTGAGCCCTCACGGGCCTCACCTCTATAGGCGGGGCAGTTTCTGCCCTTCCAGGCCTATTGCCCACTGTCGGGCACCTGACTGATCTGGCCTTCTCTCCAAAATATTCAGTGTAGGCCGTGGAATATTTGTTTCCCTATCGCATAGCAGGAGGGTGCCTGGAGCATTTCAGCAGGAGCCGCCCTCCCCAGGGACAAAGCTCTCCACCTTACCTCGGGCATTCCGTCCCTGCCCTGTTGTCCAGAGGCTCCTGCCACCCCAAAGTTGAGCTCATTTGGTCCATGGGAGAATTAGAGGTGCCCTCATGAGTCATTGGTGCAACGTCCTGCTTGGACACCCGGAAAACAAGGTTATTGCAGGTGCCAGGAAACCATGTGAATTTCAAGGTTTGCGGTGGGATTTTAGGTTATGTAAAATCAAAGTAATAATGAAATACTGACAGTATACTAAATATTTGCAAACTACTGCCCGTACATTTTATATTGCAGTGTCGCTTATCTACGGTAAGCACATAAAGTCAAGTCCTCAGCTCAATAAGCTTTCACAGACACATACACCCAAGTAATCACCACCCTGATCAAGATATAAAAAAGCAGCTTTCTTTGGCCTGCTCGCAGTCAGTCCTCATCTCCCCCACCCCCGGGGGGTAACCACTCTTCCATAACCACTGATCAGTTTGCCTGTTCTTGAACTTCATATAAATGGAGTCATTTGTTTGTTTGGATTCTTCCGCTCAGTTTAACGTGTGTGAAATTCGCCCCCGTTGTGGGTATCATTGGTTTTAGAAATGATTGCTATGGAACATTTCATTATATAAATACACCGCGCCTGGGTGGCTAAGTCGGTTAAACGTCCGACTCTCGATTTCTGCTCAGGTCATGATCTCAGGGTCATGAGATCGAGCCCTACGTCGGGCTCTGTGCTCAGAGGGGGGTCTCCTTGTCCTTCTCCCTCTCTGCTCCTCTCTGCTCCTCTCTCTCTCTCTCAAATAAATAAATGAAATCTTAAAAATAAATAAATAAATAAACACACTGCAATTTGTTGGTCTATTCTTCCATTGATTGATATGTTTCGGTTGTTTCTGGTCATTGGCTATTATGAATGAATTGATTATAATGATTAAAAGATCATTTCACAACAACAACAACTTATAAGGCCCCTTTGTATAAATTACATTCCAACAGACATATCGATATTATATTAATATTCTGAGAACTGCAAAAGGTCCTGCCAGAGCATACGGGTGGGGTCTGAAATCCATCCCAGAATCTACTTGCCAAGTGTTCAGACCTGGGGCCAGGGATAGGTGCTGTGTCTTATCTGGAAGAAGGAGCACTTTGATTGCATGCGTGCTTGCTTGCACAGAGCCGCTATCCATTTTTTAAAGATTTTATTTATTTATTTGAGAGAGAGTGGGAGAGGGAGAAGCGGACTCCCCGCTGAGCAGAGAGCCCGACGTGGGACTCCATCCCAGGACCCTGGAATCATGACCTGAGCCAAAGGCAGACGCTTGACCGACTGAGCCAACCAGGCGCCCGGCTGTAGAGCATGCATCCTCAGAGCTATATCCATTCGCAGGCTGGGTGGGCTTTTTCTAATAAGCCCCAGGGCACCACATGGGCTAATGGTGGCCCTGATCTAACTTAGATGTTAAAATGATCACTTGGGCTGGAAAAGAGATTCCAGATTTGCAAGAGGGGAAGCAAGGAGACCAGTTAGAAGCGACTGTGGTGGTTAGAGCAAGAGAGGACAGCCGCTTGGACTAGGCTGGTAGAAGTGATGAGAGAGATTGTATTTGCAGGAAGCCACAGGATTCTTCAGGGGCGTGGGATGTGGGAGGGCAGAGTGCAGGATGACTTCAGGGTGAGTCAAGTTTGGGGCGTGAAGGACTGTTACAGTGAAGATTCTATTTCCTGAGATGGGAAGGGCTGAAGGTCTTCTGGGCAGGTAATGGACTGCAGTTTGGGGTGAGTTAAGTTGGAGGTGCCCATTAGACATCCAAGCGATGCTGAGCAGGCAATGGATCTATGATTCCTGTTCCGGCTGGGAGATTAAATTTGGGAGCCATCTGTATAGAAAGTACTTAAAGCCATGAAATTGCATAAGAACCCTAGGAAGAAAGTACTAGTAAAGGTCAAGTGTGGTCCATGACTGAGCCCAGCAGTATCCCAACAGTTAAGCCCAGGAAGAAGACAAGGAAGCGGCAAGAAGCGGAGAAGGAGCAGCAAGTGAAGTACAAGGAAAACAAAGACATTTTGGAAGTCACATCTTGTGTATCCTTGTATTTTTAAGTGTTCTGGGGGGCATTCTGCTTTCCATCTTTCCCCTACAAAGACATCATTGGATTCTGCTTTACCCTCTCATGAAAATGGCTGGAATGGAAGGAAACTAACCTCGGCAAATCTGAGGGGGTCTCTGTTGCTGTGAAGTTCAGAAGGGCGTCTCTGCTCTTTTCCGTATCAGAAGGACAGGGAGTCTGGCTGGGGAGAGACATTGTTTTAACCTTCCAGAAGAGGAAACTTGACCTACCGTTAGTATAAAGACAGTATGGTGAAGTGGATTGGAAGCTCCCTCTGCCACTTACCGGTTCTGAAATTTCAAGAAAATTAACTCACTGCTCTGTTTCCTCTTCCTTCTCTGTGAACTAGCTAGGAAAGGAAAAACGCCAATAAATGTTCAGGGACAGTAGTTCCTGCATTTTTCGTAAGTATAAACGGGATAAGTATCTTCTATCAAAAGGAAAAGACCCTGATACTGGTTTAGAAAGCAAAATCAACCATATATATGGCTTACAAGAGATACATCTGAAACACAGTGACCCAGAAAAGTTAAAACTAGAAGAATGGACAAAGTCATAGCAGCCCAGGGAGGTGGCTGTGTTGATAAAGGGTAGGGCAAGGGACCCATACGATGGAACTGTTCTGTATCTTAATTCTGGTGTTGACCACCCAAATCTACACATGTGAGGAAACTGCGTAGAACTAAATACACACACATGCTCACACAAATGCACACACACACACACACAAATGAGTGGGAGTGAAACTGGTGGATTCTGAATAAGTTGGTGGTTTGTATCAATGTCAGTTTCCCAGTTGTGTTACGGTAGGACAATTTTGCAAAACCTTACACCAGGGAATCTGAGTAAAGGGGGTACATGGGCTCCCCCTGTATTATTTCTTACAACTGCATGTGAATCTACCATTATCTCAAAATTAAAACTTAAAAATACCATAGCATACACCTAGTGGAATGGATAAAATCCAGAACACTCGTAACCCCAGATGCTGGTGAGGATATGGAGCACCAGGAACCCTCTCTGATTGCTGGCGGGAATGCAAAGACACTTTGAAAGACCGTTGGGAATTTCTTACCAAAACTAAACATACTCTGACCATACGATCCAGCAATCACATTCCTTGATATTTACCCAAAGGATTTGAAAACTTGTGTCCACACAAAAACCTGCACACAGATATTTATAGAAACTTTATTCATAATTGCCAAAACTTGGAGACCACCAAGATGTCTTTCAGTAGTGAGGAAACAAATGGTGGTCCAGCCAGATAAAGGAGTAATATTATTATTCAGCACTATAAGAAATGAGCTATCAAGCCATGAAAAGACCCGGGGGAAATTTAAATGCATTTTACTAAGTGAAAGTAGCCAGTCTGAAAAAGCTACGCTCTGTGTGATTCCAACTATAGGACATTCTGGAAAAGGCATAATTGTGGAGACAGTAAAAAGAGTCGTGGTTGCCAGGGGCTGGTGGGAGGGAATGAGGAATAGACAGAGCACAGAGGATTTTTAGGCCAGGGAGACTATTCTGTCAGCTATTGCAATGGTGGATGGATACATGTCATTATACATTTGCCCAAACCCATAAAATACACAACACCAAGAGAGAACCCCAGTGTAAACTATGGACTCTGGTTGATAATGATGGGTCAATGTAGGCTCACCAGCTATAACAAGTGTCCCATTCTGGTCTGGGATGTTGATAGGGTGGGGGGAGTGCTGTGCGTGGGATGGGGGACCCAGGGGGCGTATGGGAAATCTCTGTACTTTCCCCTCACTTTTGCTGTAGATCTAAAACTATTCTAAAATATGAAGGTTATTTTTTTAAAAAAAGAACCAGCCAAACATGCAGATACAAAAAGGAAGCAAAAAGCAAGCATAACTCATAGTTTAAAAAAAAGGAAGGAAAGAAAGAAAGGAAAGGAAAGGAAGGAAGAAAGGGAAGGGAAGGAAGGAAGGAAGGAAGGAAGGGAAAGAAAGAAAGAAAGAAAAGAAAAAGAAAGAAAGAAAGAAAGAAAGAAAGAAAGAGAGAGAAAGAAAAGTCTGAAAACCACCCCAAATGGACTAGTTAAGTATGTGGTTTATCTAACCATGAAATAGTATGCAGTCATTTAACCAAATGAGGCAAATCCATATGAGCAGAGGGAAGGCTCTCCAGCACACATTGGTACATGAGAAGGCAGGGTATAGGATACTGTATAGTGTGCTCCCATTTGCATTGAAGAAAGACACATATGTTTGTAGAGACCAGAAACTAGTAACACTGATTGGATTGGGGGTCAGGGATGAGAGGGAAGCTTGCTTTTCATGCTTCATCCTTTTATACTTTCTATCAATCACTTTTGCCATATACCTGCCTGTGATACCTTGATTTTTTTTTTAAAGACTGTCTCCCCAGGGGCGCCTGGGTGGCTCAGTCGTTAAGCGTCTGCCTTCGGCTCAGGTCATGATCCCAGGGTCCTGGGATCGAGCCCCACATCGGGCTCCCTGCTCAGCGGGAGAGCCTGCTTCTCCCTCTGCCTCTGCCCCTCCCACTGCTTGCGCACTCTCTCTCTCTCTGTTAAATAAATAAATAAATAAATAAGAAAGTCCCCCCACACATGTTTTGAAAGCACAAAAACCCTTGCAATCCTTTTTCCCCCCTAATGATTTAAATAAATACAGGTTTACGTAGAAGATGTAGAAATAAAAAATACAATTCTTCTGTATTCTCACCTCACAAAATAACCACTGTGGACATTTTATTTTATAAGCAAAACAAAAAAAAATTTTTTTTAGGATTTATTTATTTAGAGGGAGTGAGAATGAGAGAGAGAGAGAGAGAGCACATGAGACGGGGGGAGGGTCAGAGGGAGAAGCAGGCTCCCCGCCGAGCAGGGAGCCCGATGCGGCACTCGATCCCGGGACTCCAGGATCATGACCTGAGCCGAAGGCAGTCGCTTAACCGACTGAGCCACCCAGGCGCCCAGCAAAACAAAATTTAGACTCATGACGTACATTCAGTTTTGTGTGAATTTTTGTCATTTAACATTACATTACAGTGGGACCCCATATGATTAAATAGTCTCAAACAAGCTATTTAAAGGCTGTGTAACATTCCATTAGATGGGTGTTATTATTATGTATTTAATAATTCTCCTGCTATTGAATTTTTGGGTTGTCTTCAGTTTGAGCTTTGTTTTTGTTTGCTTTTATAATTTTTGCTTTATAAATACTTTTTGATCCTTATATAAATGTTGGTCCACACATTTGGGTATTTCTTTGGGATAGTCTTAGGATAATCTTTCTCTGGATTATTTCCTGCATCAAAGATGAAAAACATTTTCTTGGGCACCTGGGTGGCTCAGGCGGTTAAAGTGTCTGCCTTTGGGGATCGAGCCCCATGTCAGGCTCCCTGCTCAGCGGGGAGTCCGCTTCTCCCTCTGCCTCTGCCCCTCCCCCTGCTCCTGCTCTCTCTCTCACTCTCTCAATTAAATAAATAAATCATCTTTTTAAAAAAAATGTTTTCTCCTAGACGAACCATGAGAGACGATGGACTCTGAAAAACAAACTGAGGGTTCTAGAGGGGAGGAGGGTGGGGGGATGGGTTAGCCTGGTGATGGGTATTAAAGAGGGCACGTTCTGCATGGAGCACTGGGTGTTATGCACAAACGATGAATCATGGAACCCTACATCAAAAACTAATGATGTAATGTATGGTGGTTAACATAACAATAAAAAAATTTAAAAAAAATGTTTTCTCCTCTCTGACTTATAAAGCTAGGTTTCAGGGATTTGGCTCCAGGGTGCCCATGGCCTATAATATGAGGCACGTTTTGGGGCTTAATTGTGCCAAACATGTATCTACCTACTTTATACACCCTTAATTCTCTCAATGACTCTGTGACACAGATGCTAAAATTATCCCCATTTTCCAGCTGAGGAAACCGAGGCACAGGGAGACCAATACCATGCAGCCGGTATAGACAAGCACACAGTGTGATTCCAGCCAGGTCTGCAATTCAAGCCGAAAGCGATAGACCTCAGTCGAGGCGGAGTTTTCTCCCCAGGGATGTTGGTAATATCTGGAGATGTTTACAATTGTCATCCAACTCTGGGGGAGGCAGGAAGTACAGCTACTGGCCTTGAGTGGGTGGAGGCTAATGAGGTTTCTAAACACCCTGCAGTGCACAGGACAAGAAATGACGCAGTCCAAAATGTCAGTGGTGCTAAGGTGGAAAAACCTCAATTCTTGGGGCACCTGGGTGGCTTAGTTGGTTGGGCATCCGACTCTTGATTTCAACTCAAGTCATGATCTTGGGGTCCTGGGATCGAGCCCCGCCGCAGACTCCATGCTCAGCAGGGAGTTTGCTTGAGATTCTCTCTCTCTCTCTCTCTGCTCCTCCACCTCCCTCCCACACCCCCGGTCTCTTTCTCTGAAAATAACAAATAGATCTTCAAAAAGAAACGAAAAGGAAAGAAAAACCCTGGTCTGGAGCCCCATTCTTTGCCAGCACCCTGTCATACCTCGCCATGTCCTATGAGTCCTATGGGATGAACAGGGAAGATGATACAGGGAGCCCTTTGCTCCCACCCCACCCCCCACTCACCTTCTCTCTGTGGATGTGCGAGGATCCTACCATTTGGCGGCCGCTTCCTTGCAAACCAACTCCCTCCAACATACCAGCTAGGTAAAAGGCAGCTCACTCTGAAAACACGGCTTCAAGATACTCCCCTGAATCTTCACCACCACCCTTCGTTCCCCAAGTCTCCCCCTGCCCAATAAACCTACAGTCCCGGGAACACTGCCGGTTGGCTTTGCACTTTGGAGACAAGTCACTCAGCCTCTTTGTTTCTCCAAGGATGACATGCCCTCGAGGGAAACTCTTGTCACCAGTGAGGCCTCCTACACTCTGGGGGCCGACCCTCTCATCTAGCACCAGTTGGAGGCGGGTGGTCCCCAGCCGGCAGAGGTGAGATGTAACTTGGTTTGTCCTATCGCCTTTGTAATCCTGTTTCCACCTAAACTTCAAACAGCCCAGGAAGAGAGAATCCTACCCTGATTTACCATCAAAGAAGTTGCGCTTCAGGCCTTTCCCGAGGCCAGAGCCCTGGCAGGACCGGGATGTGACCCCCGGTGGCCCTGGTTCCAGCTCTCTGTTGTGAGCCAAGTGCCTACAGCCTCGCTCCTCCGCCTGCTGTCTCGCTGAGGACTCGGGTGCCCAGGGACAGGAGGACCCCACCCTGCGCTCTGTCCTCACCTCTCTGGGACCTCTGGTCTGGCGGGAGGCTGTAGCAGAGTCTCCAGCAGGTTCTGTTCCCCGGAGGAAAGCCCGAAGCTCTGCAGACCTCTTCTGAGCCAGCTGAGAACTTGGTCCGGGCTCTGCCGGCACAGAAATGGTACAAACTGAAGCAACACTTCTGGGAAGAGCAGGGCTTACCGAGAAATGTTTTTCACTTTTGTTTTCTTTTCTTGCCTCTTTCCCTTCTAGCTGTGCAGGAAGCAAAGCAGTAGAACCATGGGCGGAGGCCCAACCCCCCCTTGCCCTGCCCTCGCTGTGTGCTGGGCGCCAGGATAGCGGCCAGTAAGGCGAGGGCTCGGTCTAGCGGACCACACGGAGCTGTTCCTCACCGGCGCTCGGCCTCGATTCCCCAGCTGTGAAATGGATCTCAAAACAGTGCTTGTGGCTCAGGGCCGTGGTGAGCAGCGAGTCCCTCAGCGCCCAGTGTGGACTGGGCGCCCCACAGATGCGTCACCAGTGACCACCGTGGGTGCTGTCACATGGCTCTCCCGCCCTCTGAGCTGGGGGATGGGCGAGGGCCGATGCCTCAGATCTGTAACCGTGACTTTCTGAAGTCGCTGGAAACCAAGACCTGTTTCGGTAATTCGTGTGGTGGAGGGACCTGACCCTGACCCGCCCGGGTGCAAGGACACGGTTCTTGTGTATCCTGCTTCATTCGCATATTCGTGGTTTCCCTGAGAAATAGTAGCATGTGACCAAACAGGGCGGCGAGGGGGTTGAAAAACCTTTCCAGAACCTTTCCCCAAATCCAAACCATGGGAAACTCTGAAACACATCTGGCCCCGAAGGTTTGAGTACAGGATTGTGGTTGTGAGTCTCCCGAGTTGCAGATGGCGAAACTGAGACCCCGGGGGAGCGGTGTGGGTCAGTGGCTTGCCCGTGGTCACACAGCTAGGAAACGGCAGACCCAGTTCTAGCCTCCATGTCTGTGGGAATAACCTGCGCAGTCGTGGGCTGAGATCTGTGTCTCCGTGTGTGTGTGTGGGGGGGGGGGGCTTGTGGTTTGTTCACATCGATAAGGCAGAAAGCCCCAGGTCGACTCCCCAGCCCTCCCGGAGGCCTTACCGGCTCTGTGGGCGTCCCCCGGGGCCCTCCAAGCAGGCAGCGGGGATGAGAGGCCGGTGGGCTGCTGAGCTGGGACTCGGAGGGGCCTGAGGGGCCCTGGTGTCCTGGCCTCCCGCACTCTGGACAGAGGCTGTCCTCCAACTGGGGCGGCCTCCCTGCAGCTTTCCCTGGCAACAGACGCAGATGCTGAGGCCTCCCCCGAGGGCCTGGGAGCCGGCCACTGGACTAGGGTGGTGTTTACCACGGCGGTGCTGGTGAAGCAAGAGCCCCTAAGAGACTCGGGGCGAGCGAAAGAATGTCACATGCAGCAAACGCCGCTTCTGGGGTGAGACAGAAAACATGTGGTGCGTCACCCAGCTGAGCGAGAGGACGGAGCTGCTTCATTTCATAAACCTCCCCTCCCCTTCCTCGGGGGCCCCCACCCTGCTGACAAGAACAAACTTACCTTACGCTCCCTCAGTCTCTTGCAATTTCAAACACACAGTGTTGGGTCAAGTTGGTCATTCGGCAGGTGAATGTTCAGGCAAATTCGGACCCGACTTGGGCATCAGGGCTTTCCCTCTCCCCTTGAAAGTCTGCAGCCCCCTGAGAGGGCACCTGGATGGGGATGCCTGTGTTGTGCCTCCGGGGTCTCCCTGGCCTGCACAGAGGCCCCCGGTGTCCCACCGTCCTATCGGGCGGCAGCTGCCTCTGGCTGGGGAAGCCCATCCAGCTGGCTGCTGGTTTGGTGGCGGCCCCCGGGCTCTGGTTTCAGCCACACCGGCCTCTGGCCCACACGCCCCGGGGAATAGGCTCCAATGCGCTGGGCCCATGTCCCACCTTGCAGGCCTTGCTCAGGCCCTGGGGAACTGCAGGGGGCAGGGTGGGAGGGGGATGAGCTGGGGAGGCCTGGCGGGGGGGAGGAGGTGCCCCAGCCCCTTCCTTGACCCAGGCACACACCACTGAGGCTTCTCTAGCTGCTGCCCCTGCCCCAGGCCTCTCTGCTCTGGCTGCCTGCCTCCTTCCTTCCCCCAGGCGGACTTTTCCTACCACTTCTGCCAGAGTTTGATTGCCTTATTGCTCGAGTCCCTCCCTCTGCCTGTTGCCCTCCCAATCCCGGGAAGGCTTCTCCCTACACCCCTCTCCGTAGGGACTTCTCTAAGGTCAGGTCTGTGCCCACCCCCACACCCTATCCTGAGGACTTCTTGTCCTTTGTTCTCATTCCCTGAGAGATTGACAGCAAAGGGGGTCAGGGAGGGGGACGTCGCACAGATAAAGGGAAATATAGGGGCACCTGGCTGGCTCGTCGGTTAAGCATCTATCTGCCTTCGGCTCAGGTCATGATCCCAGGGTCCTGGGATCGAGCTCCTCATCAGGCTCTCTGTTCGTGGGAAACCTGCTTCTCCCTCTCCTCCCCCCGACCTGTTCATGCTCTCTCTCAACTAAAAAAACAAAATATTAAAAAAGAAAAAGGGAACTATACACTGGAACAGTTTCAAAAGCATCCCCTTTGCTCTCATCAAAGGCTTAGAGAGTTTCTGTGTTACCCAACAAACCAGCCAAGGCCTCCCTTTTGTGACCTAAATGAGGATGGTAGGAATGCCAGCCAGTTAGTCTGGTGCTCGAAGGCAGGCCCTCCAGGTTGTTCTCCCCGCTGGGGACCTGGCCACAGTCACTGGTGCTGGAAAATTAGGGAGCTCACAGCCAGACACCTCTGGGCTACCTGGAGCTGTGGTTTGAACACAAGCCCTAGAGATTGATTCAGGCTAATGTAACTTAAGATTATCTTCTGGAACACCCCTGAAGCAGCTCCAGCTCCAAAGGTGCAGCAAAACCACCGGGCCTGGGAGAGGACAGGGAGCAGGCCGCCAGTAGCTCATCAGGAGTCAGGGGGACGATTCGGGGGGCTCGTTCCATCATGTGACTCAGCCACAAGCCCCTTCTTGTCTGTTCAAGTTTTGTGATCCTTTGAGAGAATCTGGTTGGCCTAGCGGAGGTCACGGGGTGTGTTTGGGGGTGTGGCTTAGTCCTTTTGGGGCTGCTATAACAAAAAACTGTGGAGGTTTTGGAGGTCAGAAGTCTGAGATCACCTCACGCCAATATGGGCGAGTTCTGGAGAAGACCCACTCCGGGGTTGCAGACTACTGACTTCTCCTTGTGTGCTCACCCGTGGAAGGGGCCAGGGAGCTGTGGGGTCTATTTTAGAAGGACACCCATGCTGCTCCTGAAATCTCCACCCTCACGACCTAATCACTTTCCAAAGGCCCCACCTCCAAATACCATCACATGGGGTGCAGGATTCCAACGTGTGAATGTGGGGTGGGGGCCCAGACATTCAGACTCTAACAGGCTGGGAGGCGGGGAGGTGAGGCTTGCTGGTTAGAGTGAGGCTTGTTGGTTAGTGCGCCCACCAGAACCCTATGGGGTAGAGCAGAGGCAGTTACCCAAAGGAAGGGGGCGCTGTTCCTAGAATCAACCAAGAAAGGATGTCGGGCAGGCGAAAGCAATAGGTGTCCTCTGCGTCCTAACTTTTGCACTGTTCTTCCCCCCAACACACCGTCCTTCCAGTTATAGGACTGAAGAGGGTCTTCTTTATGAGATGTGACAACCCAGACAGAGCTCTGGATGTCCCCAGTCCTCCCCAAGAGTTGCACCAGAAGTCACACCCAGGGGTTGTATCTGCAGGCAAATGGATCTACCCAATGGACCTAGGGTCTCCAGCCTTCTCCCGTTCTACCACACCCCTCATTGACATTCTCAAATCTATGACCTCAGTGGTAAATCTAACCACGCTTAGTAGACAAGAAATGGAATGAGGAGGAGAGGGAAGGAAAATTCTGGGAAAAATCATGCTGACACAGCAAGCAGGGAGTTGCAGTCTTTTGGTTATAATCTTTTTATGAAACTGGCATTCACAATATTTTGGCCAGCTTCAAAAATATTAGTAATAATATTGGCAGTAATCATTACAGCTAGAATTTACTGAGTACTTGCCATGTGCCAGTGCTGTTCCAAGAGCTTCACAAGAATTAGTTCAACGTCATGGGGGTTATTTGTGACTTTCCTTCCTAAATTACCCATTCCTTTATCCCCTTGCCTTCGGCCAGCTCCTCATAAGGTTGGAGTCCTTTCTGAAGGGCGGACCCTAAGCTTCACATGTTCTGGAATCAGGTGGGGTTAGGCTTCCAGCAGCTTCCCCCTGGTCATGGTAGGGCAGGCACGGACCTAGGGCATAGGAACGCCCCCTCCCCCAGGGCGTGTTGGCAAGATGCTACTACTTCCTTTGATGAACACAGCCAACCACCTTTGTCAACAACAGTCCCCAAAACAGTCTAGAAGTCCCTCAAAACAGTAAATATACCATCAGTGGATGAAGAGATACATAAATCATGGCATATACATACGATGGAATTTTATTCACCATAAAAAGGAATAAAGTGCCAACACATGCCACAATGTAATTGAACCCCAAAGGCCTTCTGCTGCTAAATGAAAGAAGCCAGGCACAAAAGGCCACATGTTGGATGATTCCTTTTACATGAAATATCTAAAACAGGTAAGTTTATAGAGACTTAAAGCAGGTTGGTGGTTGCCAGGGAGACCAGAGGACGAGGGCTTGGAGAGTAACCACTTCATGGGTTTGGGGTTTCTTTTTAGGGGTGTTGAA